TAATAGTTTGGCTATGTTCAGTTAAATAAAATATATTAAAAGTTAACTTCACCTATTTCTTTTTACCTTTTTAATGTGGCTACTAGAAAATTTAAATTACATGTGATCCACATTATATTTCTATTGGAGAGTACTGCCTTAAATTCTCAGGGACAATATGGAGGCTTAGATTTCTTTGCTCACTTTCCATTGGGGATGTAACTTCCTATCCTCCAAGTCTTGCACTCTAGACATGCTCCATGCATAATGATTTTAAAAGTTTGAATCATGCAGAAAATTCTTCCACAAAGATTTCTACCATAAATGCCAATGTTAATCTATTTTGTAAGATTAATTAATCAACAACCCTCCCCATTTTCTATTATTTTAATTCTTTACTATTTAATTCTAACCAGCATAAGGAATGAGGATTCCATTTAGCTTTCATATGTTTTTAAATTTTCTTAAAGCCCATCAACCTTGTAATCAAACCCCACACAGTTTCTCAACTTATGTTAACCTTTCCATTGGTTCTCGCAGTCAATCTATCAGGATCCTTACTCTGTTTACAGCTAAAAGACTCATGAAGAATTTATTACATCATGGTATAAAGGTAAACCTATAATAACAGATACTTTTGCAAGGCAATTTCTAGGTAAAACAAAAGGAATGGGGCCATCATTTAGACTTAGTTTAAGAAATTTAAGCTATATTTTGAATATACTTTATTAAAATGAGCAGAACTAACATTTTTCTTCAGGAGAGAGAAAGGAATTACACACATGCTGAATATCAATATTGGGTAAATGAGTTCATAAGTAGACTTAATGGCTTCAAGGCCATCAACCTATTATGCAGGAGAATACAAATTATTTCTTTATTTGGTTAGTAGAGGTAGACTCCAAACTTTATAATTACTCTGATACTACTAAATTACCCTTCCCATCAGGACAGTAATGACCTAGATTTGTTTCTTTTTCTTTTTTAAAGAAAAATAATAGTAAATGATCAATATCATCCATTATAGCTACCAGCCCCTTCCATCCTTCCCCCAGCCCCACATAAGACTGCCCACCAAAACCACAAAGGATTCAGGATACCTGCCCAGGCCTGTTCTTCCCTTGCTAGAACACACACTGAGAGGTTGCTTCCTGCCTTCTGAAGAGAAACAAGCAACATGATAAGGAGTGAGCTGGGGAAATGAGCAGTGGTGATGGAAGAGTCAAGAAGAATAATCTCAGCTATGATCTACTTCAAGAATCGATTAGTCAGCAAACAGAGCCTGGCAGAAATTTAACAGTTCTGCATTTTATTTTTGGATCTTCCTTCACACAAACTTGTCTGAGGAAGTTGTCCCAATCTCTCCAGTGTGTGTTTGGTTTCCCACATTCAATTTTTAAAGCAGAGCAAAATTCTCTGACAATGATTGCTATTAACACATGATTTCCAATACCAGGTGTGATGGTTAAGAACCTAAACATAACTGCACAAATACTTTTATAATAAAAATGTTAAACTTCCTAGCCCATTAAATTTTTTATAGACATGTCAAAATTTAGCATTAAACTGTAATGTATTGAAACCAACCTTGCTGCTGTCTCCCCAAGTTCTTGTAGCGGTCCATACTTATCTATGTACTTCTGACAAGTCCTTATATGTGCCCTCATTTCACTGAGGCAAACCTATAAAAAAGCAAATTCAAAATAAACTCACTGTTAAAAAGGGGTTCAATGAAGTCTTACGTGATCCAGCTTTATAATTTTTAAATAAGGTCATATTGTGGGATCGATTAATTAAATGAATGCATTCATGACATCAGTACCATAAAATTAAGGCATTATCAAGAATTAATACTATTTTCAAATTTCTCCAATACTTAGAAGACCCAAATGTTGAGTTCTTGAATTTGGTTAGTCAAAATCACATACACATACACACATACACACACACACACACACACACACACACACAGA